GCTCTATCAGAGCCAGATGGATCCAATAAGTCATATCTAAATTCTAATTTAATTTGTAATAAATATTTCAAATAAAATAACTTACATAACTTCTGTTGGTACATGAAGTATAACATCATGTAAAATTATCATATATTTCCACCAATAACCATAATTTTTCCATGCGCATTCAACACATACAGCCAGATCTCTTGATTCATTCTTTACAAAGAAAAAAAAAAAAGTTCTTTTTCTTCTTTTGATTACATAATAAATTACTTCAGATCAATTTATGAGTAAAACTTGGTTACCAGTGGTGATATTTGATGATTGATTTATTTCATCTGACATTTTCTTTTTCTTTAGCAGATGAGATTTCTTTTTTGTTTGACATAAGTCTCAAACAAATTTTTTAAGCAAATTTATACACCAACAACCAAAAACAATCTAAAAAACAATTCGACCCACCATTCTCGTTTTTACAACTAAATCACACAAAAAAAAATTTTTTTCTTTGTTTATTCGCTGGACATTTTTAAATTAAAAACAAAACGAAAGAAATTGTGTCAGAAATTGTTTATTTTCTCATCATTATTATGATAAGATGATGTTTCTTTTAAATCAATAATAAAAATATTCATTCGTTCAATTGAACTTGCAATAAAAACAATTAATAGTTTTATTTTATAGAAATACTAGGATGTTACAAAAACGAATTGAGAAAAGAAAAATATGCTTATTCGTCATCGTGGATGAAAGCATGCAGTTAAAACAAAAACAAAATGTTCAACAGCTATTTCTGTTCTTCAATGAACACTTCTTCGCCATGCTACTAAATCATTTGATCAAATAAATGATGAAGATACAATGAACAATATTCGTCGAGAAGAAATGTATTGGTTAAATCCAAATTGGGTTCAGCCTGTACGAAAATCTAATATGGCTCCTACATATTGGCAAAGACTTTTCATGACGAAAGTATTTAATATTCGACGTGATCTTTATGAGTAAGTTAAAAATTAAAAAATAAGATTATTTTTTTATACTTTCATTTTAAGATATTTGTGTGATGAAGAAGCTAGAAGAAAACGACATCGAATACGAATAGAAAAAGAAAAGAATTAATTTCTGTTATGCCAAATCCTAATCAACTAGGATCTTGTTTTTATAAAACAATATTTGATGCATTAGAAACTAAATATAATCCTCAACGTTGGCCTAATCCTTATTCATTAGCATGAACAGCTTGATTAGGAGATTTTTTTATTATTGATGGAGGTTTTGAATTTGCTCATACTAGTCTTTCATATTTTTCATCACTTGTTCAATGAGGTTTTCGCTGTCTTAAACATATTGATCATTTTTCATGCGCCAGCTTATATTATTATAAGTGATCTATCAAACTTTCATATGAAAACTGACTGATTTCACTAAGAACTGCTATCGATTTATCTTGCATTTTTATGTGGTCGATTTGCATGCAAAGATGAACAGATACTTTGTCTTCATTTATTGTTACCGCGTTATAGGGAACAGATTTGCGACATATCTGTTCGTAGTGGTGGAGAAGTTTCTGATGATAAACAGTTCTCCGTTGACTGTCAAATGATTCAGTTCGTCTTTCAAGATAATTGCCCCTCGAAAGACGGGGTGTGGGTGTGGGTGTGGGTGTGGGTGTTGGTGCGGGTGTTGGTCTGGACACCCACACCCTGTGGGTGTAAGTTAGGTACCATTTGACACCCGCATTCACACCCACATACCCACACTCACCCACACCTCACACCCACATCTTAATGTGTTGCCGATAATCATCTATAACCAACAACAGTCTTTGCTCATTTGGATGCGGAAAATATCTATGCAATGATACCACGATGAGTACCTTACTTGCATTGATGCAATATCTACAGCGGTATTTAACGAACAATCAATGGCTCGTCTCATGTTGAATATCCATAATCCTGTCTATGAAGAAAAATATCATCGATAAAACTCGTGTTGGAGCAATGGGTCAACATTCACACAAACATTAGTCAATATCTATATGTTACAATGGTGACAAGATTGAATGGACAGTTAGTCAAAGTTTTGAACATTAAATTTTTTCAGATTATGGTTATTCTCACTTACCCATTTCGGTATATCGATGATGTGTTAATGATCAAAGATATATTGAAAAATGTCAACAAGAAAAATTCAAACATCCGTATTTCTTTCACAATACAACCAACAATAGACTTTCCTTATGTAATAGTCAGCAACGATAATGGTGAATCGATAACATCTATCTTTCATAAACCAGCTACTGAATCTTACGCACTACCTTATACATTGGATCATTCTCGTAATATTCATCATAATATTATATATGCTGCTTTACTAAGAGCTACCTCAATCTGTTTGAGTGTATAAGATTTTGACATGGAACGTGTTCGTACTGATCTGTTCTTACTATCAAATGAGTATCCTCCATCGTTTATTTTGAAGCATTTCGATCGATTCCCTTAAGTCATTAATGCTATGCCTATAGTCAAATGTCTCGATGCTCAAGTTTACGGAACAGATACTGAATATATTAAAGATCGATTTCATGTATAGTGGAAATAACATCTTCGGCATAAAGCATCTAATGTAGCGCACGTAAAATTCAGGTTTGCTGTGAAAACTAACCAAACATTGAAAGATTTTTTTGGCGCATAAGAAACCTCCACGTCACATGTTGGTCAGAAAATCAAAAAATGGCTGATTCACAGAGCTAAACATGTACAAAGTGATTCTAAGTGACATTCAGTGAAAATCCATCCTCGAGAACGCTGATCGAAACGTTCTCAACGGAACCGAACATAACCACTCAAAACAATCATCATACGATTGTTTGGTTTCGAAAATTTTTATCTAAACACGCCGCACACCTGTACCCAAGAACAAAAATCTCATTTTATTTTATCAAGAAAGAGCAAAAGTCATTCGAATTCAAAGAACATAGGATGAAACGAAAGGATCAACTGCAAGTCAAATAAAGATAAGCACATGCTATATCATCGTTCTCTTTCGTATAAAATACTTTATATTTTATTTATGAAGCACAATCACATATACTGTCTTTTTTAAATGAAACGAACGTCGGAGTCTATACTACGACTATTGCTATTCGTCATATGTAGTTATTTACTAACAATCATAGTAGTATTACTTGGATTGATTAGTCAGTTCTTATATTGGCTTGTATTTGATTCATTTGGTCGTTATGAAAATCGATCAAAACGAAAATTGAAATGTATAGAAGATCAAAAAGATGGTGAATACAATGCTATCATAATTGGTACTGGCTTTTCTGGTATTGGAACGGCTATTAAACTGAAAAAACATGGAATGAATAATTATATTTTAATTGAACGACATGGACATGTTGGTGGTACATGGTATGCTAATAAATATCCAGGTTGTGCATGTGATGTTCCATCAAATCTATATTCATATTCATTTGAACCTAATCCAAAATGGTCACATTATTTTAGTCGACAACCTGAAATAGCTGAATATCTTGAATATTGTACAGATAAATATAATATTCGTCGACATATTCAATTTTCGTTTTGATCGATTTTCATAACGACCAAATGAATCAAATACAAG